TGTGTGTGTATGTATTGCCCTAGCTTTCAGGCTTCAATCAAAACTCCAGTAACATTAAAAGGGAGAGTTTTTATGCACTTTCACACTTTCTGAACAACTGCTGAAAATATCGCTGACTGTATCCAGTGCAAGGTCTTTGTGTACCATATAGTGCTAGGACCTGTAGGTCAGATATTTACCCTGAGCTGCAGGGTGGATATTAACTTTGTCATCTTCTTTATTGCTTTAAAATCAACAGTTTTACTTTGGGTTCAACCAGCTGTTACTCTGCTGATGTTGAAGAGGAGCTCTACAAGTACTTGTGTAGCCAATCTGAAACAGACCAGGAGGTGATGACCTTCATTAGCCTGAAGTGCTCATTCAAATGTACTCTGGATTATTAACTAAAAATAAGTAAAAAGAAACCCCAAAGCCCTGAAATGTCTGCATTATGAACACAAGCTGTTTTTGTAGGAATTTGTTAAATAGCTTAAGTAATCTTTCTTCCCTTACTTACATGCAATGATGGTGGGAGGGTTGCATTCGGTGCATCTGTTCTATAAAACAAGTGTGGCTGAAGAGCTGAAATCAGAGTACAATGAATGTTTTTAACAACAGAATGAAAGCATTTATTATCTTCATGCAACAAGATAAGACTGGTTTACAGGTATGTGTAAATGCTGTGTGGGTTTCAGTAAAGCGTTTACTACAACACACTGATTTTTACCAGTTTACTGATCCACCTAGTCTGGTTTTCTGCCTCTGGTAGGGTTTGTTACTTCAAAGGAATAAGCAAGATCTAAAAATAAAGCAAACATGGAGGAAGAAGAGTTCCTCTCTTGACTTTTACAAGCTGTCAATTTAGGCATTGCAAGATGAAATATAGCTAGCATTCAATCATTATCTTGCCTTAACTGTTCTGTGTTGTTTTGGTTTGGTTTGTTGTGTTTGTTTTTATTTTTTTAATTGGACAATCTTGAGCTCTGCTGTTGATCTGGTATGTTTACTACATGATCTGTGAGGGTCATTGTTTTCTCTTGCAGTTCTCAGAAACACAAACATACGTATTTTGCATAAAGTTGCTTTCTGTACATCTTATTTCAATGCAGAAACAGCTGGTGAAGACTTAAGCTTTATTTACTGTACCAGTATTATTTCTTTTTTTTTAAGTATTACAATTACTTCAAGCAATACTAGTTGCTTTCCACTGGTGCTGATGTATGATGCAACCTTGTTAATCAACATATTTTTGTCATTGTCTCATATTCCAACACTTAATAAGGAGGAATATAGTGAGACAGTACCAATTTATTTCCATCATTCATGTAAGTCAGCATAGCTCAAAATAAGAACATAAGTACCTTACTGGGTCAGACCTGTCTAGCCTAGGCAATAGGAGACACTACTTTAAATATTTTTGTTCTATATTGTTAATGTACATGAACTGAAAGGCTGTCTAGCCTAGGCAATAGGAGACACTACTTACTTTAAATATTTTGGTTTTATATTGTTAATGTACATGAACTGAAAGACTGACTGTGAGATGTAAGCTACTTCCTCAACTTGAAGTACTATAATAATGCTTATACCACTCATTGTACTATTTAAATGCTATAATAATAGACATCAAAACATATCAATAGCTAAAAAAAGTGTGGATAATAATAGACATCAAAACATATCAATAGCTTAAAGTGTGTTTTATCTTTCTGTTTACAAAATTTACCAGTTTTCTCATTGGAATTAAACATTTTAAAGGCACTGAACAACCACAGCCTCTCTTGATACTTTATTCAACAACTGGCAGGATTGGGCTGCATTACTTTTTCCTGGTTGAAGTGAAAGGGAAAACTCCTGCTGACTTCCAGGAGAGGTAAGATTCAGGCTTGGAATAACTCTCTCCAGATGCTTGTAGGTAGACTCGAACTCCTTTGTGTGTGTTTCTAAGCTTTCAAGGCAGACCCAGCTTGTGATACTGGACAATCCTGCATGTGTTTTAAGGTAATAATTCATTTATGAAGCATGGTGCAGGTATGGCTTCTGGTCTGTGTAGGCTTTATTGTAATATTGCTTAGAATATATAGCTGTATAAAGGCTTGGCTTTTGAGTCTTGGAGAAACAGTAAGCAACAGATGGACTTCTATGCAATACTGTACTAATAAGGTTAGAACAATCCTGCCAAAATGTAAGAAGTTTAGTAAGCGTGAGATGACACAGTATCTGTGCGATTCAGATAGAAAATGGGTGCCCAAATCAGGGTGCAAGTGCATCTTGTATAGAAAGATCTGTAAAGAGAGTCATATATATGCATAAGGACATGGTTTTGTGCTAGTTTGTTGTCATGGACGTACATTGTCCACAGGAGTGCATTAGGGCACTTTGCAGACAACGTGCCTACCTAAGCCTTTGCCAACGACCTAAGTCTGAAATCCTTCTTTGTGAGGCAAGATTAGCATTGGAGTCCCCAGACTGTGATCCAAAAAACTTTGGTGCCAAAGTATCTACTGAGCTGACCACACATACACAGAAACAGCACCTAACAGCTACAAGGACTCCAGCAAGCAAACTCGCATCTGGCCAACCTCCTCATAAGCAGAGGAGCATAGGTGAATCTAATAATAATGTACCATTGTTGGGGCAGTTTACAATATATATAATATAGAGGAAGAATAAAGTACCTGAAAAAGATTCACTGACTGATCAGGAGCCACCTGGAACTATTTGAAGACTTGGAAATAGAGAAGCTGTAGGTTTCTAAATCACAGTGGTGGTTAAGCACCTTGGAAGGAGTAAATGAGTTCTCTCTGTACTCACATTTGTGCTTTGGCTACCAAATAATTATTGAATTGCAGGGCGGGTGTGGTAGAGGTGGTGGTAGGGGCAAGGAGAAACAAAACTGAAGTAATTTTCAAGACACTAGAACACAAAATTCTCTTTTCCCAGTACTTGGTACATAAGCCTTTTTATAAATGCTGGCTTGATCCTGATTCTTAGGCATACTTATGGGACTCAACACCTCTTACCTAGTTTTTAGATGACAGTAGCTCCTCAAAAGAAGTTAATTGGTTACCTGCTCAGTCCTGGTTTTGGAGTACAAGCAGTGGCAGAACTGCAGGTAATGGAGCTTTGGCTTAGTGTTTCTGATCTAGTTCTTACTCTGATTTGAGGCAGCTAGCACAGGACTTGGGTAGATTTCAGGTGTTCAAACACAAGTTGTCATAAAAGCACTTCATTGCAAATATAGTTTGAGTGGGACCTTAACTTTATATCCTGGGAAGTAGCTAATCCAGAGTTGCTTTATTTTTTATTCTGAAATTTCTATGGTGCTTAGTGCCTCTGGCTGGGTGAAGAGCTGTAGACTATTCTGGGCATTGTTCTATATGTTGCTGTATTTTATTCACTAATCATTCGGTGTGAAATATAGAAATATTATTGTGGTTATGCTCTAACTAGGGATCTAAAAGTATAACACTTTGGTACCCTAGAGCCCTCAACCATAGATGTTCGCTCAAGGAGTAGGCAATTCTGTAGACACACAGACACACCAATACCAATGGTAATCAGATAAATTACTCCCTTGTCCAAAGGGAGTGTTCTAGCTCTTCTTCATATGTGATAGCTCATAACCATAATAGTGTTAAGGACTAGGCTCAATTTCTCAAATTAGGTCCCCTGTTATTAGGAGGATGTAGCAGAATTCTGCTGTATGCTTTACTTGAAAAGCTAATGAGCTTAAATATAAGTTATAGATTAAAGCCAAGCCATCTGAGTCTTTCTCATCAGAAGAATGGACACGAATAAAACACATATGACATCTCAGTTCAATGAGCTTTGTGGGTGATAGATATATTAAAGAACTATTATCTGAACTTTATTAGAATTACAAAAAAATGAAGAAATAGTAATTTTTTGCTTTCTCAAAAATTGGTAATACCTGCAGACATTTAAGCAACCTGTTTTTCTGATGTTAATAATGTGAAGGACAATTTGAGAAACAATCAAACAAAAAACCAACAGTTAAGAAAAAACAAACAAACAAAACTGCCTCTGGAGAATTCCTGGAATAAAAGCAGGAGAAGGTAATTTGACACTTGTTATTTGTGCAAGGAAGCTCATTGTTCAAAGAGACACAGCACTTAGTAGAAACTGATTATAATAATTTTTGTGTTCCCTTGTCTCCTGACACACTTCTTAGGCTACTTTGACTTGAGATTTCTGCTGCACAGGAATACTCGTGATCCAGATGCTCATGTGTTAGTCCTATTAACAGTTCTTGATAGGGTAGTGCATAGGCAGCATCCATAACTGATAACTGTGCTTGAAACTACATTGCTGGATTTCGTAGAGTGATAATAAGTTGCTTGAAGCCAGTACAGTGGTGATCTAAGTAATGCTTGATGTTATTGCAGGTACTGTTTTCCCCTTAATGCCCCTTCCTCCCTTTCAAAAGGCTCTGAAATACTCAAGGAGTGCAGCAGGTTTTGTTTTGTTTTTTAAAGGGCCTTTTAGCCAAAGTTCTCAAAAGATCTGTGAGCTTCTGACAATTAAAGCTCCCCTACTGAGGGCTGGGTAACTAAAGTTATACCAAATTTATTACAAATGATGAAAGCGAGACAAAGAAATTAAGACAGTTACCTAAGGTAGGCATAATGGTATCTCTCCTATCTTCTTTTCTACATCTTGCAGCAAAGACTTTCATTTGAAAAGCGTTTAACTTAATCTAGGTAGTATCATACATATTATTATATAAGTAATCTTGCTATTTGGATCTGTTTTCACTTTCTTTCAGATAAAACTATTGTTCTGGGTTTGTTTTTTTTTTTTCAAAAATGACTGATTGTCAATTTTGCTGAAACTTTATCTGCTCTGGGGGAAAAAATATTTAACTGGGTATAGCACTGGACTCCACTTAATTCAGTGTAACGATTGTGTTCAACCATTCAAATTTCCAGGCATTCTGACTAAAAGATCATCAAGATAAGACAAGTAGGTTACAACTTAGTTGTCAGCTAGTACAGGAGCTAGGTGTAAGGCTGCTTGCGTTTTGGATCCTGAGCAATGCAGAGAGCAACACATTCTTCTGTTCTCTTCCAGCAGTACCTGGAAAAATAGAAAAAGAGATGATCTAATGTGTATGGGGGGAAACCACACACTCTAAACAACAGCTAAAATATGGATGCTACTAAAAAGTGTGTGTGTGGGAAAACAGGTTCTGTTGTGTTTACACTTGTTCTCTTTCCATATTGGTATATCTTGTGATATTTCAGGGAATTACTCTTCACCATCACTAATATAAACCAAACATTGTGACATGGTGGGGAAGAAGGTATGTCTACTTACGGATATACCAAGGGGGAAGGCATCTATTCTAATCTGAGGATTGGAACAGAGTCACCTCATTACAGATATTATTTTAACAAAATAAGTATCTACAAATTCAATAGTACTTTTATTGTGGTCATCACTTTTGTATTAGCCGTTTCTGTGCCAGTTGCCGAGATGGTCAGAGATCAATCACTGCAACAGTGGTGCATATCTGCTGAACAGATCTGATAAATGTTTTAATCTAACGTGAACTGTGCTGGCGGATCTCTGCATGTGCATCATGCCGTGATTTTGAAAACACATGTTCATCGATTGGGCTGTGGGACTGGGAATTAATTTAAGAGAAGTGACTTCACAGAAGTGATGGAAGTAACGGAGAAGGAAGGAGGTGGCTATGTGTTGGAATCGCAGGTGCAGAGAACAGTTTTGTGCACAGCTGGATAGTTTCAGCTCTTTCAGCAAATGTTTTCAGTGCTGTACGAAAGGTGCAAGTGTCAGCACTACTACTTATTGGATTTTTCCTGTAGGAAAGAAGGCCATTTTTATCATCTGCCTATAATCTGCTGCATTGCATTACCAGCGAGTATACATCACCCTTCATCTTCTTCACGGTGAGCACTTTATCAGCTTATGCCACTCTTCAAAAGAGTTGGCAAGTACTTGCCCTTTCCATTCTCTCTGGAAACTACTTTCACTGGTTTTTTTCCTTTACGTGTATCACATGTGTCATGATTATGAAACAGCCATATGCATCCTACTCCAGGAAGAAAGTTGTGTTCTTAGTCCAAACCCCAAATCTTGCTTCACTGATGTTGATTAAGCCTGGTCTGAAGCTTAGAGAATCTGCTGTGATTGCCAATTGCTGTATTTATGCCGTCTACATTCATGCATGGTCTTTTGCATGCTGCTTTTTCTTGGTAATGCTTATCTCTTTTTATTTCCCCCAGCTTTAGTTGTAAGAGGTGAACTAGAATAAATATCTGTATTTGTTTCCTCCTGAAGCCACGTCTTCCCTGGGGAATAACGGAGGCTATTGCAAATCCTGCATTCACAGACACGGTGTTTCTGCATCAGCTGATGTCCAGCCTGGGGTGGACCAAATACACAGAATTTATGTTTTTCGAAGCTGGGAAATCATGCATTGAACCACGGTTCCTCTCTACTCACGTAGACTGGGCACGGACGAGCAGGCTGTCACCAGCAGATAGAGTCAGGGTTTTACCATCCACTGTAACAGTCGATGTGCCCTCCTGAAGTGAAAGAACAGATAACCAGCTTTTAATTTTCAATGTCCTGTCACCAGCAGAAAGAAAATGCTACAGACAAGTATGGAAATCTTTCACACTGAAAAAGCAGTTCAAACCTGCTCTGTTTCATGAGGCCTGGCTAAATATTCAGCTGATCTTCCCTGTCCGACACTATTAGCATCAATAAAAACATGCTTCATGGTTCGTTGTTCCCCATCATAAAGCAGCAACCCATTGCCTGACTCTTGGGGCTACGCTGCTACCCATCTAACCTAGCAGCCTTCAAGTTGGTACAGCTCTGGAAATTATGGAGATAACCTCCTGGAGTACTTCAAGCTCCTCTTCTACTTTTCTGATGCCTACTATCTTTTTAATTCTTGAAAAGCAGTTCACAAGTCAGCAGGGAGCTGACAGAAATCGTTAATAGAAGTCCATTCACGCTGGAATAGACTCATCATTATCTTGCCAAGCAGAGGAGCCAGGTTCTTGCCAGCAACAAGGTCTTGATTGCATAGGCTGCTGTAAGATGCAATGTAAACAAATGTCTTTTGAGATTATTATGTCTTTAACTAGTATTTGATAGTCCCTGTGAATTTCAACAGAACAGGAACTGGTAGAAATATCTGCCTCCCAAGCTGGCCTGACTTGTGTAAGTGAAAACTAGCTTTTCCTTGTTTCTCCCTTGGGCTGCAAATGTTTCCTAGAAGGCACTTGAATGAAGGGCATCTGGATCACTACCACTGTGCTTCAGTACAAACAAGTTCTCAGTTAGACTTTTTTTATAGCTTATTTGACCTGATTCCAGTTTGACTTCAGTATGAGAACAAATGCTTCAAGGCAGAAGTAAGAGGTGATGCTTTTTTATCACTTGAAGGCATTCTGATATATTTGCAGGATATACCCTATGTAGGGGGTATTAAAATGCTCACCAAGACCTGATGAAGGATGCCAGTATCTCTGCCCTCCACATATGGGATGATGAAAAAGACAGACTATTTTTATGATGGCGGTAGTTTACAGTTATTTTTTATCATAGTTGAAAGCTGAAAGGTGGTACCTGTTGATGATCTTTTCTATGACAAGGAAGGTAATAATTTTAATTTCTGCTGCTGGTGCTAGAAGGCTTTACTGCTGTTCAGTCTGCTCTGAACTGAAACATGAACTCATCAGTTAACAAGTGTGAATTGTCACGTACCAGCTGCCATATCCAGATATCTGAATTCCTTTTACTTTTCTCGGTTGTTCCTGGTCCATAAGCTACAACCTTTTTTTAAAAAAAAAAAAAAAAGAAACAGGGAAGAAAAGTAACAGATTCATCCCAGTGACCGAAGTGTATATATTCATCTTCCTATAGCATTTAAAACATTCTATTTTTACAGAAAAATGTTCATCGAAGATGACATTATTTTTACAGACATTAAAATTCACATTACGTTTGGTATTCTCATATTGATTCCTACTGATAAAAAGGGAACTGATCACACCTGCCACTCCTTATGCTCCTCTGCATCCTCACTTATCTATTCCTTCTGCCTCCTCCCACTCTCAGCTTTGCATCTATATCCTTCCTGCTTCTGTTCTTGGAACAGGCACTTCCTCCTCATGAACTCTGGGCCCTGACAAGAGCCTGTTGAAGTAAAAAAGATTTTTCTATTAACGTTAAAAAAGCTGCATTCCGGACCTTATTTTTCTCATTATCATCCCTTTCGGTGTTCTTCCTGACAGTCCCACCTTCTTTGTCATTTTGTTGTCAAATGTTCTAATTCTTCAGAGTGTGACTGCAAGTAACCCAGGGAAAGAATATGTTTTGTAAACTATTCTGCATACAGCACATATATCAAATGGTGACAGCTTTATTTACACCCAAACTAGACTCTGTTTGACTAAACTGAGAAGTGCAATGCTTTAGCACAGCCCAGGCTCGCTGGTGCTGTCCAGTTTTCCTTGTTTCCACTTTATGTAGACTGAGGGGGAGGAAAAAAACGTGTATTTAAACACCCAGATTAGACTCGGCACCAAGAATGCTGTTCAAACCTATAGGGAAGCCGAAAACACTGATAAGTAGTATTTGCATCAAGCTGGTGTTTCTGACTTGGGAAATACGGAGGGCAGGGAGGTGGAGAGAGTGAGCTGTTTTAATCCCAAAGGAAATGAATGGAAACAAGATTCCGGCTGATTCTATGAACGGAAGTATCTGAGTTAGGAAGCCCCTGCCCTAAGGTAAACAAATCAAGGGATGAAGAGAGACACTTCTGAAGGGCAGAGTGGGCTAACACTGTGTTGTTCGGTGGGGGTGTGTAACTTTCCCTGCTGACTACATATTGCTCCCAAGCCTAGATTCACTTGGACTGAGCAGTAGGCACCTATTATCTGTACCGTTAAAAATATCCCTCTCTTTCAGAGAAATCAGACCTCCCTACCTCTGTTTCAAAGTTATCTCCAAACATACTCAAGGATTTCTTCTGTTTTATTTCACCACGATGATCATTTAACCAGCCTTGGAAGGAAAATGGCTCCATAACAGAAGTGGAATTTAGTGGGAAAGGTGTTTCTTTCAGGAGTTCATCTGTAAGCAAAGCAGAAGTCTATCAGTGATGCTTGCTTCTCTTGATCTTTGCAAACATTTTACTGTTGTTACAGCTTGAAGGGTTCAACTTACAGATATTATCTAGTCAAAAGTCAGTTGTAACAGCAAATAGTGCTATGGTCATTATCAGGACTTCTTACTGGAGGCTGTAAGACGTGTATATTATTTGTGTATCTTTATGGAGTTACTTCTTTGAAGCTGTTGTTTGAACTGTTGTGCATCCACACTTGTTAAAAATGCATTAAAACAGTACCAATAAACTACCTAGGTCTTGCTGGCATATTCTTCATTCTCTTTCAGACCAGCCTTTGCACTGGTAAAATCTGATGTATCATCTCTGAGCCTTTGCTGAGTCATTCCTTACATATCCTTATAAAAGTGGAATTAGGCCCATAGAACCAGCTTACCCTACATCTTTCATGTAGTTAGTACTGGCTTTTATGTTTCTTTCCACCTATGTGTTTTTAAATACACCAACCACAATGGACCAAACTGGTTATCACAACATTAATTTAGTAAAAATGCCTTTTTTATGGTCTTCCTGAAGTTGTAACTGGATTTAATTTCCAGCAATTCTCCTTCATAACTGATTTTGATTTAAAATAGCTGGAGGACCGAATGCAGTTTCAGTGAAGCTGGTGAAATTAAAGACTTATGCTGTGTGTTGCTGGTATATGAAAGTAGCTTCAGTTATTTACCAGCACACAGTGAACTGCAGAGACAGCACAATCGTCTTGGTGATCCTAAGCAGTTTGTTCTTGAGATGCCATGGGGGAACGCTGACAGAGTAATTCCAACTAATAATGCTAACTGCTAGATGGCTGTCTCCCAAATGCATAGAGGTAATAAACTCGCAGTCAAATCTCAGTCTTGGTACTAGTAATAGAGCAGGTTGTTTTAAAGGATTAGTGTATTCATTATGCAATGCTCTTCTTTTCTAAAGCTGTATTTTACTGCCGTGCAGTGTTTTGAATGTATCATTTCAGTTTTTCATGGAAGGCCATATTGTATGAAGTCTTTGAACAATATGTGAGAAGGTCTCTGCATCCAAGGGAAAGCAGTGTACTGAATAAGCTACTGCTGTTTAATGGATCATAATAAGCACTGAGTATCTGTAGCTATCTCCAGACTGTCTGGATGGGACGATAACTCTTTTATTGTAGAAACAGGTTTTGCCATTCAAATTTCTTCTTCATTATATTAAATTAAATGGAAGAAGTCAACACGTTTCTGCAAATGATTTGTCTCAGCAATGCCTCTTTCAGGAAATACTGAAAGCAATCTGAAGAAATCTGCAGCAAAAGAAGGAATTTCTTGTTTGAAAGCTTTTTTGCCTTCAAGGTGTTTTTTTTTCTCCAAAGAAACCATCCTACTTTTACATTATTTAACTAAAATACTTAACACACTTCTATTGGAAAGCAAACTCCTCCAGAGAACTTAAGAAGCACCAGAAGGAAACAGAAAATCTTTACATGACATTTATTCTAGTTTGGACCTGGAAACATTGACAAGATCTAGTCAAACATTCTATATTTTTTATTGTTTGGTAACAATAGTATTAAGGTCATTAGTGATTTCTAACTGCAATATGTCTGATTTTTTTTTTTCTTTATTTTCACAGGTACATCAAACTTGTTTTGGAGGCAATTAGGAATACTTATACACTTTGTCCTTAAAATATGGATAGGCTCAACTATAGCTGTATTGGAAAGTTGTTTTTTGGCTAGGGCAAGATACAAAACAAATGTCTAAAATATTATAATATATAGTCACACACAGCAGAGGAGAAGGATGCTTTATTAGAAGGATTCAGTGCAATTAGTATTCCAGCAGATTTTTAAGTATTTTGTTTCATTAATAGTAGCAATCTGTACCTTCTAAGGTAATATGAAGATGATAGAAGGTTTTTTTCTGTTATCAAAATAAAACAGGTCATTCTCGCATTTAGAAAAGCCTTTTGGAATATAAGAAAGCTACCCATTGGTAGGGCTTTCTACTAAAATGTGTGTCCTAGCTGAGATTGTTTGGTTTTTTTAAACTAAAAAACCCCCAAAGCCAGTATATGGCACCTGTGGGGTAAGAGAGACATACCGAGAAGCTATGGGTATCCTGCTCAGCTCAAGGGGATACATCTTCTCCACAGGTTAAGAAATCCAGCATCAAGCTAACAAGTTCAGCCTTCAAATGCTGGAGAATGGATAGCAGAAAGCTGAGTCTCTAGGGTGGGCACTGTGATGTTTTAGGCAAGCACAACTATGAATGCTCCGCATGAGTTGCAAGGAATTTGGGGTGCAAAAAATGCAAAGTACTCATTTGTGTTCTGATCAAAAAGCAACACAAACCTAACAATGAAAAGTAACTATAAACTTTTAAGTTTGTAGTTTAACTTCTGTCACTCTTTTTGCTAGTTTTTCTCTTTCTAGGAAAAGTTTCAGACTCCAGCTGTCCTGATTAACAGGGACAACACGCACAGGACAACAGTAGACAGTGACCTATGCATATTTAGGGCCAATGTAAAGTGTAATACACCCTACACTTTCACTGTCCTTTCTTGTTTGTGATGTACAGGCACATTCTAACAGTTTCATTTACTTCCAAGTAAAGGTGGACTCTTTTTTTCATTCAGACTTCAAGTTCTTCAGGACAAGAGCTGTCTTTTGACACTTCTCTTGTCAGCAGGCCCTGGTTTGTGATGGGGGTTTTAGCTTATTATTAATTTTGATGTTAATGACACTTGCCCAGTGATAGCATAATGGCCTTTGAAAACTGAGTCTGCATGAAATGAACCTGTAGTCTGACCCAGCACGACGATTTGATTACCTGTTACTGCAGAACAAATAAGAGAGCACTGGGATGAAGTACGTGACATATGCCTGTGTATTATTACTAGCCTACTTGACTGAGTCCTCGTTTAATCCTGCTACTTATCCCTTACATGATGCTGAAAGCTGCAGATACCCTAGTGCTTGTGAACTTGAGCTAACGAGCTACAATGAGAAGGATCCAATTTTTTGCAGTCCCACACATATCAGTGTTGAAGCCTGGTGCTTCCAAGGGAACTGAGTGTTTCTTATCAGGCTAATGGCTTATATTTAGATAACGTTGCGTATATTTCTGCTTAGCCTGTACATTAGCTTTCAACAATATCTCAGGAAGTGTGAGTTGATGTGTTTCTGGAGTTCTTATGCTCTAGTAATACTGTGAGACAAGGAGACAACATGTTTAATGATGGTAAAGGTAAAAATATGCCAGCAAAATGGAAGAAGACGGCAATTCTAAGGTAGTCAGCTAAAAGTCTTGTGCATGTGTCTCCAAGTAATATATCACTAAGTGGAACATCAAGGCTGATATTTTCTTACATGTTCAGGATAGCCATTTAAATAGTTCAATTGTAAAGTCCATTTTTGTAGATCATTACTATTACATATTCGTGTCACACCAATGCATTCTTTATGGGTTTTATAGCTTTTTTCAGTTTTAAATTAGAATGTGATGATATCATGCGAAGCTGAAAAATACATCATGTTTATGGAATGAGTTTGTAAATATTTTTAAAAGCAAATTATGGGTTTTAGAGGAAGCTGATTTCAGTTAAGCAATACAGACTGTACTGAGACTGAGAATATGAAGCTGGGCAAAAATGGAGAGAATAGCTTGCGAGAAAACAGCTAGTGAATGTACAGGTAGTTACAGCCTCAACAGAGGCCATCTAAGGAAGAGTTTCAACTTGCTGGAAGTACTGTACTTCTGATAGCAGTAAAGAGGACAGGTAAAAGAGGACTGCCGCTGGCCAACCAGGTATATGTGGGTGTATTTGCTTACCTCAAACTCGCATGTTACATGGAAGATCCCCCTTCCCTACCACAAGGACGTGCCTAAGCTTTCTTGTCTAGAAATCAGACCATCTCATTCTCCCAAAGTGTTTCTTGAGCCCTACTTATCCCCAAGCTCTTCCCATAGCTCTCTTGCAAACCTTGTTTCTTGGAGAGTTGTTGCAAAGGAAAAGAGCAATAAAGCACACGAAATACAATATATTGAAATAGTGTCAACTATGACACTGATTACATGTGGCTTTCTGAAAAACTATTTTTTTGGTGACATGCCATCCTTTACTTCTAGGCACCACATTCTAGATGGAACAATCTTCAAGTCTTTAAATCACCTTATATGTTTTTACTTATTATTAAAGCCCCTCCATCCTACTTCAAGTCTTTAAATCACCTTATATGTTTTTTCCTAATTATTAAAGCCCCTCCAACCTAAGTCACTGTGCCACCTCAGAAACAGTCTGTCCCTGCATGCTGTGGCCCCGTCTCCATGCAAGGACATGAGAAAGTCCCTTACAAATGGTGTCTTCCTGTGTAAAAGCATCCTTATCCAAAGTGGAGCAGTTAGATCCTCTTTGTTTTGTTATCCTTTAACTGAGTGTAAAACAGTTCAGACTAGGAACTCGCTTTTTTTTTTTAGAATTATGTATTCATTTTTTTTCTATCCACTTTCTAATCATCCCTTTCATCTCTTAAAGAATACTAGATCATAATGAATAGTTCTGATGTGACAGTTTTGCAGCATTTCATGTTTATTGACAATGCCAGCAATAGTATATAGCCTGGGATGTTTTGCCCATATATGCCTACCTAATTCCTATGAAAAGTCTGCTTTATTCTCAGTGTTAACAGAAACAGTGAGTCAGTGAGACTAGCAGGAGTTTAATACTTCTGCAAACAAAACCTGTGGACTGAGGGACTTAATTTCAGGCAACTGGGTTTGAAAAAACAAGTAGTTAGCTCATTCCATATAACAATTCAGAGTGAAAGCACTGATGGTGACTGATTACTTTGCGAGTAGTTGGTTCATTTCGCTGTTGTTGAGTACAGATGCAGAAACATTTAGCTGAAATACAGGACTCACTTGCTGTAATCATATATTTTGCTGTGTAACTGTATTAGTTTTTGTAGCATGCCCTGAGAATTGGCATG